TATGTCTATGTGTTTAGGCTTTCTGTGACTTACATAATTAGACACTAGCTTTTGAGCACTTTGACTGTCATTATATAAATTTACAGTACACAAATTACCAGTTAGCTCATACAATAAGAACCTTAAATATATTGACTCTTTACTGGCCTCTGCAATGGCCATATACTCAGCTTCCATGCTAGACAAGGCCACTGTTCTTTGCGTTCTACTTTCCCAAGAAATTGCTGAACCGGACATTAGAAAACAAAAACCTGTATAAGACCTACGGTCTATTGTATTGCTACCCCAATCCGAATCAACAAATCCTTCTATTTGACCTTCCATTTTTGTATACTTTAAACAATACTTTCTAGTTTTCTTAAGATATTTTAATACTCTCTTTGCATAGTTCCAGTTATTACTTGTATAACACTTAAATTGACTGAAGTACCTTATACAAAATGCTATGTCTGGTCTAGTTAGTACTGATAAATACATTAAACCTCCAATCAACTGTTGATATGGAATATCATTACTACAAGATTCACCCTTTTCAATACCTAATTTACTTTCCATAGGTATTACATTCTTACAATTTGTCATATTAAATTTCTGCAATAAATAATCAATATATTGTTCCCGGTTTAAAGTTACAGTATTAGATTTTTTATTAATTTGAACCCTCATACCTAGAAATTGCTTTACTTGCCCTAAATTTTTAATTTTAAATTCAGAACTCAACACATTTATTAATTTTTCAGTTTTAGTTTCACAATTTGAATAAACAAAGAAATCATCAACATATACAGCAATGATTAATTTTACATCTTTATTTAATTTTGTGAATACACATGGTTCCAATCGACTCTTATTAAACCCTATCTCACATAGACTTTGATCAAATCTTTCATACCATGATCGAGACGACTGTTTGAGCCCATATATTGCCTTTTTTAATTTTACAATCTTTTTCTTATCACAAAAAAAGTCTGGCTGTATCATATAAATGTCTTCATTAAGGTGTCCATTTTAAAAGGCTGTCTTAACATGTAGATGTGTTACATTTAAATTTAATTGAACTTACAGAACAAACAATAATTTCAAAGTAGAGCGTCTGACCACAGGGGAAAAGTTTCTTCATAGTCAACCCCGGGCTTTTGGGTAAAGCCTTTTGTTACTAGACGGGCTCTTTACCGAACACTGTTATCACTTTTCACTTTCTTTTTGAAAACTCACTTGCACCTCACTAAGGTCTTATCTGAAGGTAATTCATCCACAGAATCCCAAGTATCATTGTTCTTGAATGCTTGTAGCTCCTCTTCCATCGCCTCAATCCACTTATCTTTGTCAGGACTAGATAGGGCTTCTTGGACGGTAGCAGGATCCTGGGTAACTTCCGAACTTGACTTTATGTATATGTTTGTAAAGCCATAACGCTCTGGTTTCCTTCTCATATGCTGGGTAGGTACTGGTTCTATCTGCTCATCTGCTTCTTTAATTTGCTTGATCCTCCTATTGAGTTGGTCTCCATAGGTCCACAAACAGCAGCGTGGATTAGGTCCAATGGATTGCTGCTCCTTGCTGGTGCATGAGGAAAGGGTATTCGCGACTACTGCCCATCACAACAAATTGTGCAAGAAATCTTGTCAATCTTTGATTTATCTGAGTATAATATACCCGTGACTGCTCCATCTCACATTTTATTCAAATCATTTACATTAATATGTCCCATTCTCCTATTCCAGGTCACGTCACTCACAATTGCAGCTGATGTAAACAAACACTGTTGTTTATCTAGTCTCAACTTGTATACACCATCTACTTGTATTGCAATTGCCACCAATTCTTTCTTTATATTGTAAACACAGCAAAATTGACTAAATGAAATTAAATGATAAATTGACTAATTGAAATCAAATTTGTAGTGAGATCAGGTACACACAGAACATATTTCGGTAAAGGTAAATAACTTTAACTCCGGCGTAATTCAAATCAAATAAATTTTAAACGATAGAGATAAATCTCTAATGAATTAATCAACAAGCAGAATTCGGCGGTCGCTTATAGTTTTCGAGAAAAAAAATATTTAAAACTTGTTTTTTGTACTAAGAAATCCACCATTTTATTCGTTTGACTTCAAAAGTTCTTTACACAGTTCTGCCAACATGATAAATATAGGAAGCGGGCGCCATCATACACGTATCGATATTCCGATTTTTTAAATTTAATGATTCACAGAACCGACACAGAGCGAATCCGACTCGGATAGATTAGGTTAGAAGGTTCAGGCGGGAGCGGAGCTCCCGCCTTAACCTTCGATGTTAGGTTTTTTTTTTATGACCACCAAGAAATACGAGCTGAATTGACATATTGACAACAAAAAATGGCGGATTTCTATAGTAAAAATCACACTATTTCATTATTTATTTTTTCGAAAACTATAAGCGACCGCCAAATTCTGCTTGTTGATAAATTCATAAGTGAGTTTTCTCTATCGTTTAAAATTTATTTGATTTGAATTACGCCGGAGTTAAAGTTATTTACATTTACCCATATTTCAAGGTAATGTCATATTTGCAATTTGGAGTGACTGTCATAATTTCCACTTCACCGGTGCACAGGACTGGCATAATACTTTCATTTGCTGCTATAATTTCTTTAATCTTTAGCGAATATGATGCATTATTTATAATATTTAAATCTATCGTCATGTACGCACTCGCACCACTGTTTAAATAAAAGTCTTGTTTAATAAAGTTTCCGTTCAAGAAAACAGCCGAAAAAGCATTCGTCTTCTTCACGACTTGTTGCTGATTATTCAATTTGCACTGTGACTTGTAATGATCATATTGACGACAACGATAACACTTAATGTTAGTGGTGGGCGATACATATCGTATCAGATATGAAAACTAGATATTAGTACAATATCCGAATATCGCTTACTGGCTCGTTCAATATCTATGTATTTTACAATATCTGATATTTCCGAAATCTGATGTAACGTGCTCGCTCGCTATACCGACACGAATCGCGATATCATACGCGTTTGCCACAATATCTGATTTTTAAACAGATTTCGAGAGACAAAGCGCGTGAGATACAAATACTCACTAGTTAGAGCGGGACGGCAAGCAATGCACGATATCAGATATCGAGAGACAAAGCGCGTGAGATACAAATACTCACTAGTTAGAGCGGGACGGCAAGCAATGCACGATATCAGATATCGAGCGACAGAGCGCGTGAGATATAAATACTCACTAGTTAGAGCGGGACGGCAAGCAATGCACGATATCAGATATCGAGCGACAGAGCACGTGAGATATAAATACTCACTAGTTAGAGCGGGACGGCAAGCAATGCACGATATCAGATATCGAGCGACAGAGCGCGTGAGATATAAATACTCACTAGTTAGAGCGGGACGGCAAGCAATGCACGATATCAGATATCGAGCGACAAAGCGCGTGAGATATAAATACTCACTAGTTAGAGCGGGACGGCAAGCAATGCACGATATCAGATTTTTAAACAGATATTTTGAATAAGTTAAGTAATTTTGAATCTTAAAACCATACAAATAAGATCCGTTTCAATTAAATACTAATCATGGTATCAACGATTACTACAACGATATTATTAAGTATATTTTTATTGTTTTGTTTAGCCTTGAGCCGTAACGGGCGACAAAGCGCGCAGTTAAGTAATTTTGAATCTTAACAGCATAGAAAAAAACATTTTTAGTTGCATTTAAATACGAATTACGGTATTAACGATGTCTTTAAATTTTGTTTAACTTTGAGCTGGATTGCATTGGTACATATCACGTAATAGTAAGGGATGCCAACTTACTACTTAAGAATTTTCTGCCTAAATTAAGGAAGAAAAATATAAATGGAAATTTTTTAGGAGGTAAATTTTTTGTGAATATTTTTATTCGTTAAATTTTATTCATATTTTTGGAAAAAAAAAAAAAAATATACAAAAAGAAAAATATAATTTAATAGTGCTGTGCTGCTTGGGTGGAAATCAGACCAAGGCTTATGTGCTTTGTGTGTATATTTTAAATTCTTCCGCCCTAAGTTATAATACTGAATGTATTATTTCTTACACAAATTATAAAAATATTGTCACTCATGATTGCGTGTTGTAAGAATATGTTAAACTCAATTATTTTAAGCGATATATAAGATGTTGAAATAAATCATTTTTATATTACTTCAATTTCTATTTTTAATGAAATTTATTTTTTTATTATTATTATTTTTTTTTTTTTTAGAATTCAAGGTGGATACGGGACCGTAAAATATCTAGATATTAAAATACATAGTTTGGAAATCTGATATTTGAAATCGAAATCTGATTCAGATACGGTACTCAGAAAAAGCGATACGACCCATCTCCACTTAATGTTCATTTTTTCTTTATTGTTCACATTCGAGCCGGCTATAGATGACGTACGGCGGCCATTTTGTGTTGAATTGTCATTTCTGCCAATAGTGCCAACTTAAGAATACCGTTGACGACTTTGCTTCCCTCTACTTAAAAAGGCGCCACAGGCGTCATTACGTTCGTTACCTACGAGATCAAGCAATTTTGCTTTCATGACATCTGCAGTAATGGCGATTCCCGAATGTTCGATGGCCATAATCATAGGAAAATATTTTTCGGGTAATCCCGCCTATAGCAAACTTCCAATCCACTCATCGTCGACTTTAAAACCCGTACCAGATATTCTTTGTGCAGTTTCTATGATTTGCGTAACATAACTTGTCATGGAATCACAGTTTTTGAGACGTATTGAAATTAATTTCCGTAACACATTTAACGGTTTTATTCCACGCACTTTTTTCCACGGATTTTTTTCTTACGGTTTTACTATCACATTTTTTTCAGTTCGGTCGCGCAGCAAAATCCCTATCCCCTCCAAGCCTGCCGTAAGGAACTTCGTTCCAATAAGTGACGCATTGAAAGTGCCGATGTTAATAACTGTTGTGGGCGAAGAAACTTATGCGTTAATGTGCGATCTGTGTTCGCCTTGTTTTCCGGAAAACAAAACGTATGAGGAGTTAGTCAAACTTGTGACGGAGCACTTTGAACCGCAGCGATCCGAAATCGCTGAGTGCCACGTATTCAGACTGAGACGTCAGCGCCCCGGCGGATCCCTCACGGAGTATTTACAAGCATTAAAACATCTCGCGGCTACGTGTAATTTTGGCAAATGCAACACATGTTCTACATTGGAGGAGAACCTGCGTAACCAATTCGTGTCGGGTCTAGCCAATGACGCAATGCGATCGAGAATTTTCGCCGAGAAGAAGATCCAATATAAGGAGGCGGTGGAGCTCGCGTTGGCTTTAGAGGCTGCCGAAAAGCATGCGGAAGTGAGCGGCTCCACAAAGGTGTTGGCGACGGACTCAGGGGCGACGGGTGGCGAGGCGGGCGAGTGCCTGCACTATGCGCGTGGCAGCGGCGGCTTCAAGGGCCGGCAAGGTGGGCAGCGCGCGCGGCCACCACGAGCGCCCGGAGCAGGGGGCGCGACGACGGCGGCTGGCGCAGGCGCGCGCGCGTGCTGGCGCTGTGGCAGGGCGCACGCCGACAGGTGCCGGTTCAAATACTACAACTGTGACGAGTGCGGCCAGCGGGGCCATATTAAAGCAGTGTGTAAACAAGTGCCGGCATAATTTTGTGAGCGATGAGTCGGACGACGGCTTGTATAACATTGAGGTGGCAACTCTAGGTAACAAACCGTACTTTATTAACTTATCAATCGATAATAAAATTGTCGAATGTGAGATAGACACCGGTAGTCGTATTTCTGCAATAAGAAGAAATGTATCATAGTATGTTTTGTCATAAAATAATTAAATGTGATAATTTAGCTTTACGTTCCTACTCGGGATCTCAGATCGTGTCTCTTGGTTATATTGAGGTTGATGTCAGTTTAGGTAAAATAAAAGAAAAATCATTACGCTTATATGTCATTAGAGGTGGGGCACGGCCGTTATTAGGTCGAGAGTGGATGCGTGTCTTAAAAATAAAACAAATTAACCTCAATGAAATCATAGATGACGAATTCGTAAACAAATTATGTAAAGAGTTCCCGGAAGTGTTTAGCGATAAACTAGGGACATGCAAGCGAACCATCCGACTACAGCTCTCCGACGATGAACCGGTTTACGTGCGAGCGCGTCCGGTGTCGCTCGCACTGCGCGCACGTGTCAAGGAGGAGTTAGCGCGTCTCGAGTCCGACGGCTTAATATATCGCGTGGATTATTCCGATTATGGCACTCTGATAGTCCCCGCTGTAAAAAAAAATGGAAAAATACGTATTTGTGGTGATTACAAGATCACGATTAATCCAAAGTTGAAAAGAGATTATTATCCCCTACCGCGTATTGAAGAGCTATTTGCGAATCTTAAAGGTGGGGAAAAATTTACAAAAATTGATTTAAGGCGCGCTTACGAACAGTGCATCCTCACCGATGATTCGCAACCGTACACCGCTATCACTACACATGGGAACTTTTGCGTATCGACGTACACCGTACGGTTTGTCTTGTATTCCTGAGAAATTTCAAAAGTTAATGGAGGAGACTTTGCGTGGTACGCACAGTTGCGTAGTATTTTTAGATGATATTTGCGTTACAGGTCCGAATAAGTTAGAACATATAAAAAATTTGAGAGCTGTACTCGAACGGTTACGGCGCATGGGTCTTACGGTTAAACTGAGCAAATGTAAGTTTTTATAAAACAGTGTCAAATACTTAGGCTTCATAATCAACAAGGAGGGCTTGCGGCCTGATCCTGAGAAGTTGGAGGCCATTTCCAGTGCGCCTACACCTAAAAATGTTTCTAGGAATGTTAAATTATTACGGCCGATTTATTCCTAATTTAAGTACTTTACTAGAACCTTTACATAATTTTTAAAAAAAGGACGTAGCCTAGAAATGGGACTCAAAGTGCGAGAAAGCCTTTATTGAGGCGAAGCGATCTCTCCTTAGTGAACGGGTGCTGGCTCATTATGAGGAAGGACGCGAGTTGGTGTTGTCTGTGGACAGTAGCGCGTACGGGCTAGGGGCTGTACTTGCACACAGGTACGCGGACGGCTCCGAGCGCCCCGTCAGCTGCGTGTCTCGCACGCTCAACGCAACTGAGCGTAATTATAGTCAGCTCGACAAGGAGGCGCTCGCCATCTTATTCGGTGTCACTAAACATCACCAGTACTTATTCGGGAGGCTATTCACGTTGTACACGGACCACCAACCGCTGACTTATATCTTTGGTCATAAGGGAGGTATCCCACAAACAGCTGCGAGTCGTTTGCAAAGGTGGGCGGCGCGCCTGGCCGCGTATGATTTTACCATTAAATATATTCGATCGGCGGACAACGTCAGGCTGATGCTTTATCACGGTTGCCGTTACCTCAGGAGGGTCGTTTTGCGGACTCGATAGACTATTTAAACATAGTAGGCGATGTTTTGCCCATTTGTTATAAGGACATAGCTCGAGAAACCGAACGTGATGCATTATTATGTAAGATTAAAAGATATGTATTTTTCGGTTGGCCGCCAGAACCAAGCTGCGATGCGGAAAGACCTTATTTTGCGAGAAAACACGATATAGTCGTAGAGCAAGGTTGCGTAATTTATAAATACAGGATAGTAGTCCCCTATGTTTTACAAAAAAAAAAAAAACTGACGAGATCCACGAAGGTCACCTAGGAATGAACAAAATGAAATGTTTATCGCGGAGTTACATATACTGGGCGAATTTAGACCGGGACATCGAGGAAACGTGTAGATCATGCGTTGCGTGTAGATCTGTACTCGACGCACAGCCGCGGTAGCATCTGCACCCATGGGAGTTCCCGTTGCACCCGTGGCAGCGCGTACATGCTGACTTTGCAGATTGTGGGGGTACACGTTACTTAATTATAATTGACGCACATTCTAAATGGATCGAGGCCATACCGATGCAGGGTACAAGCGCACATTCCACGATAAAAATTTTTAGAACTGTTTTTGCAAGATTCGGTTTGCCATCGCAGCTTGTGACGGATGATGGACCACCATTTTCTTCACAAGAGTTTCAAATATATTGTAAGAATAATTGTATTAAGCATACCACCTCAGCATCTTATCGTCCTCAGGGAAACGGTGCGGCGGAAAATGCCGGCAAAACTATTAAAAAAACAATAAAGAGAGCACTGTACGAAGGCGAGGATATTAACGCGGCTCTTAATAAATTCCTTTTGAAATATCGCAACTGTGAGCACGCAACGACGGGCGTCTCGCCGGCGGTGGCACTACAGGGCAGGAGGCTGCGGAGCCGCCTGGACGCACTGCGGCCAGACGTGGTGGCCGCAGTGCGCTCTAGGCAAGAGAAGCAGGTAGTACGCACCGCCGGTGCTAATAGGGAGTTTCGCGTGGGGGATGCGATACTCGCACGTGACTACAGAACGAAGGGAAGCGAGTGGGCTGAAACTATAGTTGTTAAGAAGACGGGACCGGTCTCTTATAAAGTCGACTTAGGAAATGGTGTAGAGTGGCGTAGACATGTTGACCAATTGATTCCAACTAAAAATCGATACTCACTGCCACGTACGAGAGCCGCGCCTTCGGCGGACAGCAGTGCTTTAAAATCGGATACGACAGAGGTCGATAATGGGGCCGAAGATGAAGTTTTTGAGGACGCTTCAAATAGGGATGAGACCTTGAATGAACCCTTGGAAGCGGTGGAAGCGCCACAGGCACAGTCCGGGCAGATCTCTCCAGCGCCTGTGCCTGAGTCGCCTTCACCACGTACAGCAGCTCGAGCACTGCGTGCTCTAAAACGAGCTAAACGCAATATTTCAAATTTAGAGTAAGATTTTTATGAAATATAATTATTATAGTGATTGTAAGCTAAGTGGGGAGAAAATGTAACGTCTTGTCATAATTTTATAATTACCATGGTGGAGGGTAGATTAAGTTACTATTTAATAAACCAGTCTGTTGCTTACACACGCCTTTGATTGACGTTCCAGGAAGTAGCAGATGTCCATCGGCGGCAGTATTCACTTAATATCAGGTAAACCGTCTGCTCACTTTGCAACTTTTCACATAAAAAAAATTAATTTTAAAATTATCTTTAGATTTAAAATTAGTTACATTTTAAATGCCACAAGGTTAGATTTTTGATAGTACATTAATGTATTTTTATGAATAAATAAATATATTTTATTAAAGATATGATTTTTGCCTTTCTTTGCAATCTAATATAAAGCATAAGAATTTACACTAATTCAGGTTTTAGCTTACTCATGTTTATAATAAAATTTTATAAATTTATGTGTCATGTCACATTTATTTGACATCCTTTTGTTAAGCGTATACATATGGCCATGATGAAAAACAAAATGCATTAAACATTTTTCATTACTTAAAGCTCATAAATGATGTCTTTGAAAATAAATCTTAGATATTTTTTTGTTATTGGCTTGTATGTCTAATAAAAAATAAGGGATTTTATCCACAAGGAGTTAAAAGTAAGAACGTGTATAAAGTATGAACAGATTGCCGCCGCTGTGGGAATCGAACCCACGTTACACAAGGAGTTACTTAATTTTTTTGGTGGTTCTAATATCCTCCATTTTGAAATGATTTTTGTTTTTACTAATTTATTAAATGACTTCAAATTTAAAATGAAATTAAAAGTTAATGATTTCCTTGAACATAGCGTACATAGCTTTTTGTCACAAATATATAATTTTCTGCGTATACAGTTACATATATCCTCCCATAGATATAGAAAATAAAAACATTTTTTTATGCGCACTATAATTGTGTACATAAAATATCAAATGATACAAAGCTTTACCTTATTCTGGAACTTCCTACAGCTCCAGTAACTTCTTTATTTATCAATTTTTTATTCATTTAGGAAAAAACACACTGAATTCGTAGTTTTATCCCCATAAAACGAAAAAGCGTTCGTTTTGTTCGGCACGAAAAAAAAACACATTGACAGCAGGAGTGGAGCTGGTTTGGTAGTAATAAATGGGTGATGCCGGTTAAAAATATATATTTTCTTCAAACGTTCGTGATTCTTTGGTACGTCAATGCATGACTACATAGTAAAAACACAGACGAGGCGTTAACGAATATAATAGCTATCAGGAATTACATGATCAGGAGCTTAGAATCTGTATATGTGACTTCATAATATTTAAGATTAGACTATTGTCAAATAAGGCATTATTGAATATTCTAACATGGTGTTCTAAGTTCAACCTACGAGGTGAAACTATTAATTTTTTAATTAAATATTTAATAGTCTATAAGACAGTCTGCGAAAGTGAGCTCTAGGAACAAACAAAACTTAACCCCATTAAGTTTTACTCGGAAGAGAAATATTCTGGAGCAATTCCATTACATCCGCTTGCCAGTGGCGTGAGTTTTAATTAATCAAAATCTATTCACGTTTAACTCAGAAAATTATACGAGCTTTTTCAACTGCACAAGCTCTGAGTTGATCTTTTAAAGGTCACCCTCCAAACGTTCTCCAAAAGTTCGCTCAGAGATATTTTTAAAGAGATTAATATACTCACTGTTGCTTCTCAATACATTTATTGTAATGTTTTGTATATTCGTCATAACCTAATTTTTTACCTAAAGAATAGTGACAGACAAAAATTAAACACTAGAAATAAGGACAAACTTACTACGCCATTGTTTCGCCTACAAAAAGTAAATAGGACGTTCATGGGGCAAGGTGTGCGCATGTATAATAAAAACCCCACAGTCGATATTAAGTCTGCCGCTTGTTCAATTGAACGTAAAATTAAAAGTCAACTTATGGTTAAAGCATATTACACTATTGCGGAATATCTGGACGACGCCAATGTGTGGAGTTAATACTGTTGATACTCACGTAGGGTAGAATAAGACTATTATACCGGTATTGCATATTGTAAACTGATAACTTTGAAAAAGAGCAACTGTTGAGTTTCTTGCCGGTCTCTTCTCAACAGAAACTGCTTTCCGAACCGGTGGTACCTAACGAACCTCTATGTATAATGTTTTATGTAAAATTTGACGATTCATAAGAACGCGCAAGCGTCTATTTGAATAAAGATTTTTGATTGATTGATTGATTGAAAAACAATCTCACATTTTTCTTTTATATAACATTTTTCAATAACTTGGTTTAAATCTTTGTCAGCCTTTTTCACATCACCGTAGAGCTCTAGCGGAGTTAGGTTTGAGAGGCAGGGACGTATATACATATACGCGACCCCACTGCGGATTGGCGGAATTCACATATTTTCGAAATATTTTTTTTAATCATGCAGGTTTCCTTACGATGTTTTTCTTCACCGCTGAGCACATGATAAGTCAACACTTAACAATTTAATTGATGCTGGCACCGGGAATCGAACTCAGGTTGCTCGAGTAGGATATAGAATTCAAAGCGAGCGCCCGGAGTATGAGCTATCACATAAAGATTATACTTTAAGTGTTACTAATAGCATTCTATCAGTTTTCACTTTAAAGACAAAATAATAAAAACATAAATCTGAAAGTAATAAAGAATTTACCTTACCGCGTTGTCTTTAAAACTATACATACTCTGTACTACGTACGTATGTTCCGTACTCTGTACTATAGAATCTGGATCGTCAACATTTTTGCCTTCTGCTTGTCTATAAAAAAAAATTGTGCATGCTGAATGTAACTTTTTATCTAAATAATTTTACAAAAATCCAAAATTTATTTTCATTTTGAATAAAAATTACCTTAATTTTTAAAAATTAAAACTTGAGAAATAAAAAAATTAAGGTAAAAGAATGTTTAAAAATGTATAAAGCCCTCTAGAATTGCATCAAAACCAAACTTTTTTTAAAGGCTTTATAAATAATCTTTTACTTGCCCTCTTTGTTTATAATTCATTAATTTAAAACCATGAATATTTGCTATTCAATTTACATTTTCTGTAAAAAATCTTATATTAGGTAATAAAACGTAAAGGTGCATATTAATATGTATTTCAAATTAAATAGCTTACTGTTTTTTATGCATAGGTACAAATATGCTTGTGAAAATTAACTAAGCCCTACAATTATCGTCATCGACCGTTTGTTGCTTCTTCTGCTTCTGACTCATAGGCCATAGGTAGGTAGGTAGTCCACATTGTTAAGAGTGCATTTTTGCGAACCGCAAAAGCCTTTGAGAATGGTTATACGGGTAAATGGCGTATGTGCATTAATACGAAATGACATCGTATTGCATATGATTTTCTAGTTGGCCGTTAATGATTTTTGCTAGTTACCGTAATAGAGATTGCGTTAACCAAAAAAATAAAACATTCTAGTATATAAATATTTAATAATTTTGATCTTCGTATACGAGCGGAAGATAAAAAAAGCACAACAATCATGGAAAGTCATCGAGGTAAAAAGAAAGAGAAAGGCAGAAATATGTTTAACAAACATACATATTCTTTTAAAAACCTAGTAAAATTTCATTACTGTGAACTCATGCTTTCCTTTTCACTTTTCCTTTCCTTCACCTTCATCCTGTGTTTATAAGTGATTTATGTACACCTCCCTCTGCTCTCTTCTTTATGTCTCCTTAGCAAAGAATCTTTTCGCAATGGTTGTCTGGAAGAAATCGCTTTCTGAGCAAAAAAAAAGTATATATATATATATATATATATATATATATATATATATATATATATATATATATATATATATATATTGTTTTTTGGTGTTTCAATAAAGTAATAGTAAAAGCATGATAAATAACATGACATATTACTTATTGCAGAATTTCAAGAACTTGCTTTAGTTGTTTACAACATTTGACCTAAAATACATTTCTGGCCACTTAAGACTGCTCTTCTGTAAAGTTAGATTTTTTCGTGTTATCAATCTGCCTTATAATTGTCACGTATAAACAATCGACAAAGACAAGTTTTAAGACACAGACAAGACAAGTTTAAAGACACTAGATAGTTACTACAAATAATTAAATATACAGTGCATAAATTACACATTACGTGCCAGATATCGAGTAAATAAAATAAGCCTAACTTAAACTTGCATCTCAAGCTATCAAAATATTTGGCAACTCTTATACCTAGCGTAAGTATTCGTTTACACCCAATGATGTTTAATAATATCATTGTTAATACCGTTGTATATAATATCATTGTTTATACCTATACTAGTGACCGAAAGATCGGAACATTCTTTTTGAACTCGAAAATCCCACAGGCAGTTGGTAATTATTTGTTCTGCTAATTGTTTAGGCTTTGAACAACGTTACGGTGGCTTAATTTTAAAACTGGTTATTTCTTTACACTTACAGCCAGAACAACTTAACCGAATGAAAAAAAATCATGAATAAAATAAAAACACGTACTTTTTATATACTCAGGATATTTTATTTTTTTTGACAAAGGGCGGACTTAATGCCTATTAGCATTCTCTACCATTCAACCCGGGGTTGAGGAGAAATCGTAGTAAGTGCAATAAATGAAATTGTAATATGAATTTATGTGACTTAAACAAATAATAATGTATGTATTACACATCAGCTTAAGAATATACAAGATATTATATAAAAAAGAAAATACAAAAATATAAACATAATTATAAATACTATATATCAAGATATATATTTAAAATATATGAACATTAGTCATTTATTAAACGGTTTTATTTAGCTCGACCCGTACGGAATTTGTTTGTTTATTTATTTGGGTCAAAATTAGAAATTGAAATTTAAGCACCTTGCCGTTGTCAGATTGATCTGAAATTTGGTACACACATTTAATTTAGATGACAATACAATATTAACAACAAAAAAATTTAACAAA